TTAAAAATCCCCTTAAAAGCAACCCCAGCGCGGACAGTGAACCCACTCCGGCGCACAAAACCACGCTGGCCCGTGTTTTATGCTGACATCGTTTAGTCAAGCAAGAAAGAACAGCTTCCGACTGCAAAACCCAGCCGGGACTCCTGCCAGTTCTTGCTGAGAGAGAAACCACTGCATGGCAGCAGGTCTTTCTGGATCAGAACGCAGATAAACTTCCCTCAGACGCAGCTTCCTCCCCTCGCCTCCCCGGTGGCAGCCCACACCACTGGGACCGGGCTGGGGAAGGTTTGCCAGGCAGGAGGGGAGGGCAGAGCGGCTGGCGGGATGCATCTCTCCTGGCAGCGGAGAGATGAGCAGGCAATGCGGGGGCAGATGTGCATGGGGGCTCTCTGGCTCGTAGACTGCTCCAGCCACTGGCCAGGGCCACGTCTGGCTGTTTTCAGGTTAAGGAAGACACTTGTCCCATGGAGGTGAGGGTCTGGGTTCCATCACTACACAGCTGGGAGGAGCACAGAGCTTGTGTGTGTCAATGCGCCTCTCCTGGTTCGGCTACTGGAAGCCCAAAACCAGCAGCCATCACACCCAGCGGATACGAGGAGATGGATCGGGACCTGGCAACGGGATCTGTGGTAGGGGCTGAAGCTGGGAAAGCCCCAGTGCACCAGGTCCCTCTGCCTGGCTGGGTCCCAGCTCTCCCAAAGACCCCCGCCTCGCCCCAAGGGCCTGGACACAGCTCAGCAGCAAACCGAGCTGGTCTGGGCTCTCGGGGAGCCTCAGCCCTTGCGCTCAGACATGTCCTGCACCTCAGCGCGACCGCAAGGCCTGACCCTGCAGGCAGCCGTCTCCGCTAACCTCCTTGACACAGCTTATCTCTACGGGCTTGGAAACACCCAGAACCACCAAAGAGTCACCCTATGAAACACTCAGGGCCTCCTGGAGAGACAGGAGCTAGAGAAGCTGCTGACATTTAACAGTCCACAACATTCAGCCTCAGGGTACACAGGATCTGTTTACAAGGCTGCAACATCCCAGCTGCAAAGCGAGCTGCTGGCGGGGAGGGGGGGCTTTCTGTCCTCTGGATCAGGGAGCTGCCCACGTCCTGCTGTCCCTCCCACCCCGTCCCAGAGCAGGGCGCAGCCCACCTCCGGTGTTGGTGATGGTGACAGGCACGCCCTGGACTTGCACGCCGTTGATGTTGATGGTCTGCATGGCCTGCGCCGCGGCTGCCAGCTGAGCTGCATTTAAGCTGATGATGCCTCCGGCAGGGGCAATCTTTGGCAGAGTGCGTTCCTTCCGCGTGGCTGGTTTCTTGCTGCTGCCACCCGTACCGGAGTTGCGGGACACGGGGCTGCTGCAAGAGGTCCCAGATGGAGCCACTGTCATGGCTGGGGCTTCTTGGAGCAGCACTGTCTGCAGCTCACCTGATGGCGTTTTGAAGTAGACCTGATGGGAGGAGAGAAGAGGAATGAGACCAGCCACTGTCAGCGGGCAGACCCCTCTCCACCACAACGGTCGCCCTTCCCACACAACCCAGGAATCTGGGCCTGCGATGAGCCAAAGAGCAGGAGAAGTTGCCCAAGCATTTGAAGATCCTTTCTGGGCCTCCTGAGGAAAGGTCTTGGCCTTACATGGCAGCAAAGGGCTGTTTTGGCCTTGCAGCCTGGTTTCCAAAGGCAACACTAAAGACACAGTCCTACAGGCTGTGAGCCCCACTCCCCCATCACCCTCCGTCTCCCAAGAGCTTCTGACCAGGCTGGCTCATCCCAACCCCAGCTGGTGGCACAGCCGAGGTTTCAAGGACACTGCGCTCCTACAGATCCTGTAAAAGCAGGTGGCCAGCAAGGGAGACTTAATAAAGCCCCTCTGAAGGATCAGCTGTGCTCCCAACCCTTCTTAGACACCAAAGAATCCACATAAGTGATGCCTAAACCAGATGTCAAGTTGGGAATGTCTGGCAGCTCACAAAACCCTTCGTGCCTGGGTGAGGGCTCAGAGGAGAAAAAAGGCAGAGAGACGTCGCAGGAGGAGCAGGTGGCCAGCAAGGGAGACTTAATAAAGCCCCTCTGAAGGATCAGCTGTGCTCCCAACCCTTCTTAGACACCAAAGAATCCACATAAGTGATGCCTAAACCAGATGTCAAGTTGGGAATGTCTGGCAGCTCACAAAACCCTTCGTGCCTGGGTGAGGGCTCAGAGGAGAAAAAAGGCAGAGAGACGTCGCAGGAGGAGGTACCTGGGTAGGAGTGGCTTCCGTCGTCTGGATCTGGAAGTTCTGGGAGGATTTCTGGGGGACGGTGGGGAGCGTGGCAGAGGCGGCCTGGACCACACGCAGGGCCTGCTGTGGGATCTGCACCACCTGCGACTCCTGCTTGGGCTGCACCACCTGTACCTGCTGCACGACGGCCGGCTGGCCGGAGCCCGGGCTCTGCACTATGAGCAGGTTGTTGCCCGCCTGGATGATGTTCTCCGCCGTGGTCTCTATTAACACCGTCTCCACCTGCTCGGCCACGGCCACGGCGGCGGGCTGGGCGGGTGACATGGCTTTCTTTCGAGTCTTTTTGCTGGGCTTCGAGGGGCTCTCTGCAAGGATCTGAGCCTGTGCACCTGGCTCAGCGGCGTTCACCAGGTTGTTCACAGGCAGTTCACGTTGCTGCCGCCGGCTAACTTGACCACGTTGCTTGTGCCCTGCACCGGTGAAGCTCCACCCTTCTGCGCCGGAGCAGGTTTGATAGGTACAGGTTTGTGAGAGGAAGAGGAAGGGGTGAGGATCGCTTGATTCGTGCCTGGAATAATCTGGATCTGGTTGGTGAGATTGGGCTGGACTTGGATGGTTTGTCCCCCCGTGGCCTGGATTTGGGGCACAGCCTGGTACTGGATGTTGGCGGAGGAGCGGGTCCCCTTGTTGATGACCGTTGGGTTCTGAATGGCAAAAACCAGCTGCCCCCCCGGGTAGGAGGTGCCGACCTGAGAGCCCTGGATCTGGAAGAGGTTCCCTTTCGACGACAGGATCCCAAAGCTGTTCTTACCAGAGCCCAGAGGAAGTGGAGCAGGTTTGATGGGGACGAGTTTGCGAGGTGTTGGCTGAGGAGGGGCAGGAGGAGTCACGGCAGCTTCCACAGCGGGGGGACCGATTTTGCTACATGTCGCTGCGAGGAGAGCTAAAGGAGATGGCTGGGAGTCCTGGGGAGCCAGGAAGGAGACAGGTAAGTTAGACACAGGGGCTTCTGCCAAACATCTGGAGATCAAGTCAGCGAAGGACAGGGTACACATTATTGAAAGCAATCCAGTCCATGCCAATGAGATATATAATCCCCCTAGTAAGGGAACTGCTTAATTACCCATACCACAAGTGCCTTTAGCTAACCTTCATCACACTACTTTTCGCCATCAGGATGGTGACTGCCTTTTAGTCGTGTGCCTATGTTCTTACAACCTCTATAAAGCTGCAAATACCCTGCAAGTCTGCTGGCATTTACACCCATCACACACACCCTGGAGCATCACAGGCAGTTTTAATTCCAAGACCACCTTGTGATACCAGCTGCTAACGCGACCCAAGAGGTCCTTAAGGAAAACACACCACGGGGAAGAGAAACAACACTCCAGAAGAGTTGGCATTGGGGCTGGGAACAAGTCCAGAGAGCGGCTCCTCAGCCTGTCCTGCAACCAGCCCTTCTCCTGACGCGGCAATGCTGGCTACAGCAGAGGCAGGAGGGGCCGAACGACACAGAATTTGCCGTCGTGTACCCCAGGACACGTCCCTCTGCCCCAACGGGGAGCCGGGAGCCCACCAATGCCCCTGTACTCACCTGGGCAGTG